GGAAGGTATGGTAAATATGGAGAGGGTACAAACGATAAATGTCTGCGGAGACCAAGCAAGTCAACAAAGGAAACAAGTCAGCAAGTGAATCAGGCCACATCTTAGGATGAGTGGATTGGGGCCATAGCAAGTGGATCCACCCCTCTCATCTAAAAGTACCGAAATCAAGACATTTTAAAACACTCCAAACCAGCTTTCCGGTTTGCAACCTGCCAGAGAATGGGAGAACAGTCTGGAAGTGCCAAGAAGTGCTGGCAATTGGCAGCAGTGGCCAGATCACAGGATTCAAGAGGAAGAAGCAGCTCAGTATAATTAGCAATCAGAAATACAAGAGTCCTAGGGCTGGGGATGTAGCTCAGGTGGTCGAGGGCTTGCCTACCACACACAGAGACGTAGGTTCAGTTCCCAGCACCATATAAACTAGGTGTGGTGGCTTGCACCTGTAATCTCAGCACTCCAGAGGTAGACATGCTGCCTGAAATGCACAAGCATCGACTACTGCCATGGACCAAGGGAACCTCAAGTCCGAATTCCTACAAGAATCCAATCTGATGATGGCCAAGTTGAAACTGTGATGACTGCAGAAGCCTATGCTACCAAAGATGAAAGGCCATCAGAGGAGAGTCTTGAAGAGGACTTTGCCCTGTGCATTTATAACATGGCTCCTCAAAAATCTCACAAGTCAACAGCCATCTTGATAATAATAATAATAGGGGCTGGAGAGATGGCTCAGCAGTTAAGAACACTGGTTGTTCTTGCAGAAGACCCTGGTTGGAATCTCAGCATCCACATGGCATCTAACAACTGTCTGTAACTCCAGTTCCAGGGGATCCGAGAGTCTCTTCTGTCCTCCATGGGCATTGCACGACACAGGTGCACTTACCTCCACACAGGCAATACACGCATACACATAAAATAAAAATAATAAATAAAAATATTTTTTAAAAATGTTAAAAAATAGTAATAATAATAATGGTGACAATGGCTGAGGCAGTTAGTGACTCGAAGGCCTTCACGAGCTTCTCCAGCATGTCCATGGCGGCCTCCAAGAAAGGAGGATCTGCCCTGCAGGCAGGAGTAGAACCCAGGTGCCTAGCCATCTTGGGTCCATCCCCTCCATCCTGAGGGGAAAGATTTTAAGCAGAAGAGCAAAATTTTAGCCAGCCAAATGAAGTAGCTTTGTTTCAGGGGATCCAACACCCTCTTCTGACCTCTGCAGGCATTGCAGGACATGAGTGTACTTACATACATGCAGAAAAAAACACTGTTTGAGAGCCTGAGTACTCAAGGAAAAAGAGAGATCTAGAGTTGTGGTCCCCTCCTGTGAGCTGGAGTCATGGTCCCTTCCCATGAGCTGGAGCTGTGGTCCTCTCCTGTGAGCTGGAGTGTCCTCTCCTGAGAGCTGGAGCTGTGGGACCCCTCCTGTGAACTGGAGCTCTGATCCTCTTCTATGAGCTGGAGCTGTAGTTCCCCTCATGTGGGCTGGAATCGTGGCCCTCTCCTGTGAGCTGGAGCTGTGGTCCTATCCTGTGGGTTGGAGTCCTGGACCCCTCCTGTGAACTGGAGCTGTGGTCCCCACCTGTGAGATGTATTATAAGGTGCCCTCATAATATGGACTCCCAGTCCCAGCAGCGATGATCAGAATGGACTGTGCTGGATCAGGTGTTCACCCACTGTTGAAGATTAATGCATCTTTCAACTCTCACCAGAGAAGTGTCCTCGTGCAGCAGATGGTGATTGACACAGAAACTTGTGGCTTTCTAATGTGCGGGAAAGAAGGAGCTGCAGAGCATTTATCTCTGAGTGGGACGTCCCTGTCAGGCTTCTGGAGCTCAAGGCTCAGGAATAATTTCGGAGGGGGAGGTGGAAAGAATGTAAGAACCAGAGGTGGTGGATGACCATGGGGAGGGGGGGCAGAGACAGCTTGTCAGTTACTTATATGAACTCACAGCAATGGTGACAGCATGAACAAGTCCTATGCAGGCTCCAGTGGATGGACCCACACTGAAGAACATTTGGGGATTCAAGTTAAGACTCTATAGGCCTTATTATACAGAGAATACATTTAATTGGGTGTTGGGGGGGTGTGGGGAGGTGTGTATGGGAGAGGGGATATAAATGTCATCAAATTATATTGTATGGAAATCACAAAAATTCAATAAAAATGCAAAAAAAAGAACTGTTGTAGGAAATTACAAAAGCTCAATTAAAAAAAAAAAAAATCAAGCAATCCAGGCATGATGGCACTCGCCTTTAATCCCAGCACTCAGGAGACAGAGCTCTGTGAATTCAACGCCAGCCTGGTCTACATAGTGAGCTCCGGGTGCTATGGGGAGACCCTGTCTCAAAAAGACAAAAAAAAAAAAAAAAGTTCAAGGTCATCCATCCTAAAAAGCAAGTTCAAGGATAAACTAAGCTACACAAAGTAAAACAGACAAAAACCCCACAATATTCTTGGGGGCCTTCAAACACGGTGAGCAATAACATATAAGTGTTGGTTTTTGTTGGGTTTTTTTGAGATAGAGTCTTATGTAGTCCAGGGTGGTCTCAAACTCATTATGTAGCCAAGGATGGACCTTGAACTCCTGAGTCCCCCTGTATCCATCTCCTAATTGCTAGATTACAGACACACCACACCATGCTTATCTCAGATATATATTATTTTTGTGGTTAAAATGTTTGTTAGTAAGCAGGGTTGGAGAGATGGCTTGGTAGATAAAGCACTTACTGTGCAAGCGTGAGGACCCGAGTTCAGATCTCCAGCACCCACATAACACCAGGCAAGCATAGTGACTGCCTGTCATCCCAGCAGTTCATGAGGCAGAAACAATGGATCCCAGAGCAAGATGGCTAGCTAGACTAGCTGAATCAGTGAGCTCTGGGTTCAAGTGAGGAACCTTGCCTCAATATATAAGATAGACAGCAATCAAGGAAGACACTGTGTTAACCTCTAGCTTGCACACATACAAACACCCATGCACATACACACACACTACACATGCACACACAAAAAAGGTTAATGAGCAACTTTTATTTCTTAAGCCAGTGAAAAAAGAACAAAAAACGACAATTTAAAGGCAAAAAATTTTAAATTCACAAAATATTCAGTCCTTGTGCTAGACACATATATGAAAGTTTCAAAGAAAACTTTCAGAATGTTTCGCCCAACTTCTACCCTCAATAGGACAGCTCCCCATAACCTTCTAATCAGTGTGCATGGATGTCATCGTAGTCTGTGGCCACAGTGTCATGACTCCTGTAGATATACAGGAGATAGAGACATTCCTTAAATATTTAACTGAAGAAAGTAAGATTTGACTAAAAACTTTTTCATCAAAATGAGCACTGACACAGTCTGCAGTTCTTGTTTTGTCTGCAACATAGTTTTGTGTATCTAAGGCTGGCCAGGAACTCCTGACCCTCTTATGGACTGGGATTCTAGGTGTGTATCACCATACCTGGTTAATATGGTGCAGATAGAGCTTTCCAAGTACCTGGTCCTCCAACTGCATTTGCCCTTTTTTATAAAATCAAAATTGCACATTCTTTTGATTTAAAGAGAATTCCAGCACTCAAGGAAGCCTGGCATAAGTTGAGACCGTGCCTAAAGAAAAAGTAATTCTAATACTGGCCAGCTCACTGCTCCCTTCTTTATGGAAAAAGATAATAGTTCTATGCTTATTATGAAAAACAGAAATCTGTCTACATGGCCATATCAACCATTCTCTCAGAACCCACTCTCCATCTTAGTAAGCCCATGTCACTGTTTATTTAGTAATTTGGGGCACTGTCAATTTTCCACATGAAATGAAGTCTGTGCTTCCCCTATCGTCACTCTCCCTGTGAACATCCTCAGCAGCTGCTTCATCAGTATCTGGCTTAATTCATATTCAGCGATGGCAATGGCAGCATGCCCAGGTAAACATGACTCACAGCTGACCCTGGAGTACAGCACGAACACATTTTTCTAAGTGTTTATTGTTTCATGTGCTGCTTCCTGCATCAGAATCAGTCCCCAAACTCCTCATCATTGTCCAAATCTTTACACACCCTGATGAGGCAAGTTGCCTACAAACGTCTTCTTCAAAAGCTCCTGTCCTTACCCAATAGTAGGGGTAAGGTGGCTGCTACACAGTACAGGCTCCTCTGGGACGAGTCAGGGCAAAGCCTCCTGACGAGCTCCCTAAGGAGGCTTCGGATTCTGAGCAATGACCAAGTGCCCCGTAAGCACATGGATTGAGAACCCAAAGGCAACTGCAATAGCCTGTAGCTCTGGACACTAGTCTGAGGTCACATGAGGCATCCAGATGTGCTTTCCAATGAATTTTACATGAGCAACTTCAGTCTTAGAGTCCCCAGCAGGTGACAGGGAAGTTCTGGAACAAGAATGGAGGTCTACCTCTTACAGGTCAAGTTGACATGGTCATAAGCACGAGCCATAACTGGGTGAATAACTTTCATCATGTTAGCTTTGCTTGCTCCTTTTTTTTTTTTTTTTTTTTTTGGTATTTTTGAGGCAGGGTCTCCCTGTAGCCCCACCTGGCCTGGAACTCACAGAGATCCACCTGCCTCTGCCTCCCAAGTGCTGGGATCAAAGGCGTGCGACACCATTCCTGGCAATGTCACTTTTTTTTTCCTTGCTATAATGGGGATTGAACCCAAGACTTTACCTGTGCTAGGCAATTATTCACAGCTGAGCTAAAACCCCCACCCTACCCAACTCACTCTCTGTCATTTTAAACACTGCAAGTCACTATATGAATACTGTGCTGTGGTCCTCACATAAGGGGTACCTTTCCCTTTCATCACACCCTTTCTGATCTCTGCCAGGAGGTCAACATGAATATCCAATACTTCCTGATTTCTTATCTACTGCAAAGAATTTTCCCCCTCTGCTCTGTTCCATACATTGCCAAACTTCTATGATAGTGAGTACTTTTCTTAACTATGAAATAATTAACTTTTTTTAAAATAAAGTACAGTTAGTGACATACCCAATCTATCTTTTGTTAAACATGGTTATGTTGTGAATATTTTATTTTGGTTCTTTTAAAAATGAGTCTCTTGATTTAGTCAGGCTTCAGGATCACTGGAAATTAGCCAACATCATATACAGAATGATCATTTATTCGGGGTAAATTGAATTCTTCTTGGTCTTCTTCAGAGCAGCTATAGGAATGCCTAAGTGATGCCAGCTGGAAACACCATCACTGAAACTTGATTCCCTGGGCCAATGGAAGGGCTTTACTGTAGTTGATGGTGCTGGAGGAGAGAAGTAAATGGTGGTGCATATTTAACACAGGATCCTTTCATATTATAAACATGGGTCTATTTATATTAACAAGATATAAATTGGTAAAATAAATAAATAAACAATTAGGAGGTAAAACGATGTCAGTGTGGTTCCAGGTTTATGAAAGAAGAGAAACACAGAAACTGGAAGGTCCAGCAGCTGCTCCTCACGGCTCTCCCTTTGAGCAGAATGCAGGAACACAGGGGCTGCAACCGCCTTTCGCTAATAACTTGTATTATGTTATTGGGGGAAATGCAAATATTCTCATTTTGAAAATAAGGAAATAAGAATAATTAATTTTTTAAACTTTTTTTTTTCCAAACTAGTCACCAGGAGTCACCTGGATTTCCTGAGAGGAAAGGTACCCCACTCAAACGGCTCAGAAAAGCCAGAACTAAGCATTTGCCTGTCTAGCTCCGAGGGTGCAGAGAAGAAAGAAGATGTGTGTGACTTCTAAGAATGAGAAGCCAGCAGACAGCACGCCAGCTCCAGGGCTGGGGAGAGACCCTGAGCAGCCAGCTTGAGGCCTGGATCCTTGCCCAGCACTGTCTCTACAGAGCACAACCCCAAACTATGCCGCACATAAGCCATTTCTACCCAAGTGGGGTGGAGGAATAAGAAAGTAAAACAAGCCCCAGTCAGCATCTCCTGAAGCCAGCCTCTCCACCCACACATATGTCCAGAGGATGAGCTAACCAGAGTCTTGCTCACACTTCCAATTTGTTCCCCCCAAGTTTGCCACCCAGGCCCCCAGATTCCTTTCTGCCTCACTCTACAAGAACAGGAACTCCATCATATAAGAAAATGAAAAAGATGGTTCCTTTCATCTTCTGATGACTGACCCAGTGTCCTGCTCCTTCCTATCCTGCCTGCTGGCCAGAACCCACAAGACAATTTCTCAGTCAGGTGCTAAGCACAAGCTGACAAGGAGGCCAGAATGACTAATACCCTGAGTATTCTTCACTTGAAATGTGTGGAAGTCAGTTTTCAGGTGTTTTTCTGATTCTGGAATATTTGCATACACAGAAGATACCTTGAGGACAGGACCCAAGTGTAAACATGAAGTTCATTCATGATTCATGTTCACCTTGTATGCACTGCCGCAGGCCATTTTTCTAAATTCCTAGTGTACCTCCTTCCTGACTGCCACCTGTCAGGTGACCAGCTACGGAATCTTCCATGTTATGTCATGTCAATAGGGTTTTCAGATTTGGGAACATTCTGGATTAGCGATGCTTAACTGTAGTAGAGCATGAATGCCCAAGGAGGAGACAGCTGCAGAATCTAGAAAAACCAAAGCAAGAGAAACCAAGCAAAGGCAAAACAGGAAGATAGGAGCGCAGCAGCCTGTTCACAACAGCTTCAAGACGGAAACCTCCCACCCAGAGAGAGCCCTTCCTCACCACGTAGATCTCCGCATGTACTGCTTCCAGGCGTCACTGCCTGACTCCCTGCCACCACCAGTGTGTTTTTCTCCTCCTACAGAAATGCAAAATCAAAATCATCTCAGGCCTCCCTGCCAGCCCTCACCTGGACTGGTGAGATGATCAAAGGAGGCCAGAGTCACCAGACCCATTACTTTATACTTAGGCCACTGTTCTCCTCCACAGACAAGACAGACTTACCACTGGGTGGGATGGTACCTATCATCCTAGGGACTCAGGGACTGAGGCAGGAGGATTGTGAGTTCAAAATCAGCCTGGGCTATACAGCAAGACACAGGGGAGAGAGAGAAAAAAATATTAAGGAGAGAGAGAGAGAGAGAGAGAGAGAGAGAGAGAGAGAGAGAGGCTGCAGAGATAGCTCAGTTGTTAAGAACACTGGCTGCTCTTGCAGAAGACCTGAGTTCAGTTCCCAGCTCCCACACGGTGCCTAACAACTGTTCATAACTCCAGTTCCAGGGCTCCAACACCCTATTCTGGCATCTGTGGGCATTGCATGCATAGGTGCACTTACATACATGTAGACAAAATACTCAAACACGCTTGCTGTTTAGTGTGCACATGTTGACACATACTATGGTAGCTTAAAGAACACTCAATTGGAGAGAGCAGCACGTGGCTGGCAGTAAGAACTGAATGGCCACACAGTCACAGAACCACACAGTGAGGCAGGATGGGGGCTCACATCTGTCATGAGAGGAAACAGGAACCTCTGTCAGCATCTGCACACTAAATGGTATGCGTAATGTTCAGTCTAAAAACCGGACAGAACACCACTGCTTGCACAAACTCATAGGTACTGGTGCGTGTCTGCTTTGCTTCTCTGTTAAAAACAAGGAAATCAGGTTTTACAATACTTTTTTTTTTTTTTTTTTTCTTTTTGGAGATAGGGTCTTGCTGGCCTGGTACTCACTCCATAGTCCAGGCTGATCTCAAACTCGTGGTGATCCTCCTGCTTCAGACTTCAGAGCCACTGGAGTTAGAGGCATGGGCCACCATACCTGGCCATTTTGGATAATTTTTTTTTAATGTTTTACTCATTGATTTATTGATTTATTCATTGTATGTGTGTTTCCACGCATATGTGTGCCACAGTACATTTGTGGAGGCCAGAGGACAACCTGTGGGGAGTCAGTTCTCTCCTTTCACAATGTGGGAATCTAACTCAGGTTATCAGGCCTGGTGGCAAGCACCCTTACCTACTCAGCCATCTGGCTACTCCCACTTTGAATAATTTTTAATAAATAAACCTTAATATATGCTTGTTGGGAAAGGTTTTTTAAAAATAACTTTAATAACTCATGGCTTATTAAAAGGACCCAGGGGGAAAAAAAAAAACAACTTAGTATTTCATCTAGTAAAAGAGAATATGTTGAACACATTATGCCTACTTTGCAAATAAACACCAGACTCTTTCATGTGAAATTTCCTGGCTTTGAAGTAGAGGTTCCTAACCATTCTGAGTCTAGGATCTTCTGCCTAGAAACTATACTGCACTTCAGGGTTCACATATCTTAGGCTAAGGACCCTGCTGTAACCTGAGCAGCAGGTGAGGCCCCTGCAAGAAATCAAGTTGGAGTACATCTCTTTCAGGCCTGGTGGACCGTAGGTTACTTTAGAATATAAACTGGGTTTCCACTTTTTTAATAAACTTCTAAAAACAAATACTACTTTCCTTGCTGCCAACATGAAAAAGGTATAATGAGGGCTGGGGACGGAGCACAGAGCAGAGTGCCAGCCTAGCACACACAGTGTCATACGTTCAATTCCTAGTACCAAAATTTAAAAAACAAATTTTTTTAAAAATATTTTATTTATATTTTGCTGGGCATGGTGGCTCATGCCTTTAATCCCAGCACTTGGGAGGCAGAGGCAGGCAGATCTCTGTGAGTTCAAGGCCAGTCTGGTCTACATAGTGAGTTTCAGGACAGCTGGGGCTACAGGGAGACCCTGTCTCAAAAAGACCAAAAAAAAAAAATTTTTTTTTGTTTTTGTTTTTATTTTATGTGTATGAGTGTATTGCCTGAATGTATTTAAGTGCATCCGTGTCATGCAATGCCCAAGGAGGTCAGAAGAGGGCATCAAATTCCCTGGAACTGGAGTTACAGACAGTTGTTACCTCCTATGTGAATGCTGGTAATCAAATCTGCGTCCTCTGCAAGAGCAGCTAGCGCTCTTAACTGCTGACCCATCTCTCCAGTGCCACAAAAAAAATTTTGTAAGGATGAATGATTTTCTACATACCAAATGCACCGCCAATCTCTGCCCCACTGGTAGGAATATTGACATTCACAATGCCGCAGTCTGAACCCTTAGGTCTGTGTATAGGAGGAGAGGGACGGTGAGAGCATGCATAGGAAATCAAAAACAAAACAACACACGAGCACTCAGACTCTCAACACGAACACAAGCACTCACCACACAAGTCAGACAAATAAGTAAATGTTCAAACAACATTCTACCCAAGCCAGCGGAAGATTCTGCCCAAATCCTTGGTAAAGATGCTGCTTGAAAGTCCCTGTTTCACTTCATTATTCCATGCGAAGACCTCTTCCTCATTCTGCAAGGACAGACAGTGGAAACTGCTAGATGTTACAGTGCTCAGGTCAAAGTTCACTGCCATTAAACTCATTTCATAAAATGTACATTTAGTGCACAGATGGAAACTGAGAGTCTGACTTGATAATTCTGCTTCTTTCATCATTTGGATCTTTTTTTTCTTCTTTATTTTTTTGTGGGGTGGGGGGTTGGTTCAGTTTGGTTTTTTTGATGGTCTCATGTAGTCCATCAGGCTGGCCTTGAACTCACTACATCACTGAGGATGAACTTGAACCCCTGATCCTCTTACCTCCACTTCCTGAACGCTGGGGGGGCCGGCCTGAGCCACGACACCCTGCTTCAGGTTACTTTCAGTAAGTACAATGGTTGAGAGTTTTCTCTCAATTATACTTTGATAAACAAAAGTTTATCTTCCACTCAAGATATCAAATATAATAGCTAGTATTTTTAATTTCTTAATAACTGTGTATGTATGGTGCGTGGGGGGAGTGCATGCATGCCATGGCGTGGTGCGACTCACACCTGTAATTGCAGCACTTTGGAGACAGAGGCAGGCAGACTAACACAAGTTTGAGGCTAGTTCAGTCTATATAACAAATTCCAGACCAGCATGGGCTAGGCTAGATAGTGAAACCTTATCTCAGATATACAGACCAACCAAAAATAAAATTTTTAAAAAACACCTGGATTCAATCATGATCTCATATTGGCTGTTGAGGCCCAAATCAGTCTCCAGACAGGGACTTATTTTCACTTGTTAAGACACCCCAAGACTGGACCCTCATGTAACCAGAGGTCTTCAGATTGCCCCCAGATCTTCCTGGCTTGTTTGGTGACAAGTGCACAGCACTCAAGCTGTGGACTGTACAGCCTCTGTGTCAAGAGAAGCTGCCTCTACAGCTCAAGAGCTTGGAATGAGGGCGTACAGGAGACCAGGGCCACACACTCTACAAATTCCAACTCTGGTCCATGACCCATTTCTGTTTCCCTGACAGTGAGCTTGACATCCTTTGTAGTTTTAAAGTTTTTATCTCATATTTTACCCTGTAAATTCAAATTTCTTCATAAAACCTTCTCAAAGTCTAGTCAGTTGAAACGTAATACACCTTCATGTTTGCCTAATCGTTCTGACTTTAACACTGGACTGCAGAAACAGAATCCAAGGGGGATGGATCGGAAAGGAATGGGGGAGGGGGAAGGGAATATATAGGAGAAGGGAGGGGAGGGGAGAGGGAGGAAAAGAAAAAGGGATAAATATGATCAAAATGCATTATATGCATTATGAAATCCTCAATAAAAATATATTAAAAATAATTTTTGATGACTAAAATGTAATCTTCTCACACACAAAAAGAAAAGAAACAGAATCCATTTTTACCTTGAATTTGAAGACATAGAGAATCGGAGCAAACGTTTCTGTGTGTGCAATGGCTGCATCGTGGGCAAGACCTGTCACAATGGTGGGTTCCACGTAATTGCCAGGGCGATCCATAACCTTAAAGAGAGACACAAAATAAAAAGAATGGATGCATTTTCCTTTCTTTTCTAGGACTTGGTGTTAGAGGACATCATCCTTGCCTACATTTATAAGAAAACAAAACCAAACAAAATCGCATATATAAGTGAATTATTTCTCCAAAACATTTGCTTTTAATGAAAGTTATCTCCTGCTCCAATTTTCTCTTTGCCAGAGAAAAAAACAGAAAAAGGATTTTGTGGAGGAATACCACGCCATCATCACAATAAAACTGTTTTCTTGTGGAGGGGAGCTGTTGAAAGTAGTTATCTTTAAATTAATTTTAAAATAGGCAACCCATGCCCATTGTGTTACTGGTTGAATAGTGTCCCATCCAAATTCACATGCTGAATTTGGCCAGTACCCAGTGGGACAACACCTAGACACAGGAACTTCAAGATGATTATAGTCGTTAATAAATGAAGTCAGCAGAGTGGGCCTGGTCTGCTAAGATCCATGTTTCTTGCCCCTTGAGGAAAGGTCACATGAGGACACAGAGAGAAAGGCTCACCTACAAGTCAGAAAGACTTCAGTAGAAACCAACCCTGTCAGTACTCTGACACCAGCTTTTAAGCATGCAGAATAATGAAATGATACATTTTTAATGTTCATGATTCTGTCTGGGGTATTATGTTTGCAAGCTCTGAGGGTTTCACACACATTATCTAAAAAATCCTAAAAAGGCGCTTTTAAAACCAATCTCCATACAACCAAATTCATACTTCTCTGTTTAACTAATGATTATCTTTCCTTATGAAATATTCTTTTTTAAATATTTTATTTATTATTTTTTGTTTTTATTTTATGTGTATGTGTGTATTGCCTACATGTAGGTAAGTGCACCCGTGTCATGCAATGCTTGTGGAGGACAGGAGAGGCCATCGGATCCCCTGGAACTGGAGTTATGGACAGTTGTTAGCTGCCATGTGGGTGCTGGAATTCGAACCCAGGTCTTCTGCAAGAACAGTCAGTGTTCTTAACTGCTGAGCCATCTCTCCCAGCCCCACCTTATGAAATATTCTGATGGCCACAAGTCATGTTGAGCAGTCACTGACTGTCAAACAGGCCTCTGAAATTCTGTTCCTACCCTCTGAGCTCTGTGTTAGTTCTGCACTCCAACTTGTACACACGCAGCTCTGTCTATTACTGTAATCCCATACTGTACCATGGAACCTAATAAGTATCACAGACAGTGAGCCCTACTTCTGTAAAGATAGGTTAAATCCTTTACAGAAAATAGAAGAAAAATATACAAACATACATACACACACTATCTGGTCTCCAGAGAGGAAAATCTGTGGTCAGATTGCCTTTCCAAGACTCCGGTCTCAGTGAATTTTAAATGAAATGAAATGAAACAAAAAAGATAACCTATATATATACCTTTTGCACAAATGAAGGCAACAAATCCCTGCAATGCACGAAGCAAAGGCCTTGGCCGTATAGCAAGAGAATCAAAAACAAACATAGTCCTTGAGGATCATGGTGGCAGCACCAGGAGGCAGAGGCAGGCAGGTCTCTATGAGTTTGAGACCAACCTGGTCTATATGACGAGATCCAGGTCAGCCAGAGTGACATGGTAAGGCCCTGTCTCAAAAACAGTAACAACAACAAAACCTACAACCAAAAGAAATCAAATATAGTTCTCAAGTGTTTGATTAAAATAAAATGGTATATATTCTGTGATTCCTTGGCTTAATTACTTCAGATAACCAATAAATATGGATTCTAATTGCTCTGATTAGTCTTGTGCTGTGTATGACAATATCTCTTTTCTCTACAGAGTCCTAGAGACCAACTCAAAGGCAACTACAATTGAGTTTCTTGTTTGTCCCCCAGAAATGCTTCATGCCTTTTATGTCATCATTCCTCAAAATCTTTCTCCCTCTGATAGGGATGGAGAAGGACATCCAACTGAGACCCTTCACCAGTTTTTCTCAGAGCTCTGCCTGTGCCTAAGAAAAAGGAAGGAAAGTTGGGCTACCAGCCCAAGCTCTCATTACCTTGCCCCCACAGACCACTGTGCCACCTTCTTTCTTTGCTTCCTCCACGGCTCCAAGAAACATGCTCACTGCGTGTTTGGTATGGAGTGGTCCATAGAGAACATTAGCTGGGGGGAGAAAAGAAATGCTCTTCATTTTGCCCTCCACAGCATCATTTTATTATGTTAGTGGCTTTCCAAATGATCAGGCTAAGCCCACAGCTGACAGCGGGAGTGAGCACCCTTTTTCCATAAAGGGCCAGATGCTAAGTATTCCATGCTTTGGATCACATATGTGGTCTCCATCACAACTACTCAGTTCTGCCTTTGTAATTCAAAAGCTGCCACCCACAATATGCAAAAGAGCAGAGGTGGCTGCGTGGTAGACGTAACAGATGGCAGGTCAAATCTGCTTGCCAGTCCCTACCTGAGAGGAATGGCTATCAACCAGAGCACTTCCCTAAAAACACAGGATTAGCAATGTTTATTAGTGTACCCACTCTCAAAGACGATCGCAATCTCTGTGACTGATGTGCAGTTCAATAGGGATAGATTGACACTGCCCTGTTTCACGGCTGCTAGAAATAGAGCACTGAAGAAAATACAGGGACAAAGGAAAAGGGAGACTTAGATAGGCTTTGGAGGAGGGGGCAGTTTAGCAGTCAGCCCTGGAAAGAGCTGGGTAAAGAACATTTGTAGCGGGGACTGAAGAGATGGCTTGGGGTTAAGAGCACTGCCCGCTCCTACACAGGACTGAGTTTAGTTCCCAGCACACATGTTTGCTAACAACCATCTGTAACTCAAGTTCCAGGGGATCCAATGCCCTCGTCTGGCCTCCTTGGGCATTGCATGCATGCATGGGTGCACTTACATACATGCAGGCAAAACACTCATACACATAAAATTAAATAATTAATTAAAATATAGACTGGCTCTCAGAAAGGGCCCCTGGGATTTGCATTTAGAAAAAGAACACTTGTAGCAAAAAGAATAGCAGGAAAGAGTCAGGAATGCTTGAAACACAGGAAAGCTGAAGAAGCTGGGGCCCAGGAAGCAAAGGTTCTGGTGGAAGATAAGCAGAGCAGGAGGCAGGTGCAGCAACATAAAGATGGGGACCTGGCAAAGAGGGACTCTTGGCAGTGAGGTCACTGAAGTGTCCTAAGCAGAAGAGTGAGACAGATTACATTTTAACCACTCTGGTTGCTGTGGAAGGCGGCAATGGAAGTAGGTAACTCTGGGGACTCATACTTCCCCTGAGAGAGGATGGTGGTGACTTGGACAAGAATAACAGCAGTAAAAAGTACAACCACCATCACCCCATTTCACACCCAGCACAGATCAAGCATGAGATTGTAACCTAGGAAAACATGTCATTAAATGCCTCCAGGCTTCTCAGAAAAGGGCAGCCCCCGACCCCAACTCAGAAGGCCAAAAATACACGTAGCATTATCTGTCAGAAGGAGCATCTTTGAAAACAGAACCAGCTACTCACAGTCCCAGGGGTTCCCAACTCGGATCTGTGCATAGGCTTTTTTAAGTCTATTTACAACTTCATCATGGATGCTTTCATGCAAAAACTACATGGGAAAAAGAAACATTCAGGGGAATAGCAAAATAGATAAGATTTTAGGTAGTGATTTTTTTCAATAGTACTAATTAATAACTATTGAAATAGTGGAATCTCTGAAAAGATAAGCAAAACCACGCTTTTACTTTTTTATTAATTCTTTGACATTTTAATACATTTAATACATTTTAATTCTTTGACAATTTATTTTGATCATATTCACCCTGCTCCCATCTTCTCCCAGATCTGCCCACATCTCCCATTCTACCCCCAACTCCGTGTCTTTTTTCTTTTTTAAACCAAATTAAGTCCAAATTATGCTGCCCATAAACTACTGGGTCCAGGCCATCAACAGGAATGTAGTCAACCTATCAGGGGCCATACCCTTAAAGAAAATCCACTCTCCCTCTCCTGCCAGTAGCTCCTCAGCTAGGGTGGGACTTTGTGATCACCTCCCCACGCATGCTGGGATTCTATCCAGCCTGACCTTGCGTAGGTCTTCTGGTGGGGTAACATCTGCCACAAGCACAGGCATACAGGAGGGCCACATGTCTGCTACCATGTCTAGGGAATATATTTTTCTAGAAAAACTTCTATAATCCCTACCAATTCATTAAACTGTGGTGTTTAAAAGGTAGGACAATCTCAGGTACATGTGTAGACACACTCACCAGCCGCCTCACAGTGGTGCACCTCTGGCCAGCTGTCCCCACAGCAGCAAACAGAGCTGATGGGACGACTAAGCTGAGGTCTGCATCCTCGAAAGCTTAAAGAAGCACAAACACATGCTATCAGTGTGCAGACAAAGCATTTGCTAACTGGTACAAAATGACGTCTTCAGAAAGCACAATAGCATCAAAACTGTAATTGTAAACAAAGAACGTTCAAGTTGTGGAGACGTGTCCGTTGAGGGGAAAGGTGTGCTTTTCTTCTAAGGAAGAATGTATGACAATAGAGCAATGAGATCTATGACCTTTAACAACATACACAAGTAAACTAAGGCTTCCAGTAGGATTTCTTCACCTCCTCTCTCTGTTTCTGAGCCTCCTCTGCATCTTTAACGTGGGTTTATCATCCTCATTTTTATTCACCTCTATTCCTAACCTCATGGTCTATTTTGTTACCAGCTTCATTGGGTCCATAAAAAGAGAACAATGTAATCTGCTCACTACTGCCTCCAAGATCTGACACCATCTCGGTCCTCACTTGCCCCAGTCCACTCTTCATTCCCACAAAGCTTTCTGTCCCTGCAGAAAATGGTCCACTTTCTGCTTTAGGGAACAAGCAAGGTCTGTCTGGGCTTGTCTGTTCCTCTGAAGAGATTAAGGCAAAGTCACTTCCAGAATCCTGCCACTACTTTTATCTGTCCCTTCCTCCTCTTCTGTCCTGGGAGAAGGGGGACAGTATAATCTTTACAAGATTAGCTTTTACACTTCTATTATCTATAATCCTTCTTTTCATCGCCTTCTAAAAACTTAGGGCCACCATTACCTCCAATGTTTTCAATGACTCCCTTCTAACAGCAAGAAGTAGTTTGCACACACAGACTAGACTTCTTATCCATTTTCATAACTTTTAAGTTCTGTTTTCATGTTTTTCCCCCATGTTGGGGACCAAACCCAGGGTCTTTTAACTGCCAGGCTCTCGCTACCATTGAGCTAAATTCCCAGCTGCTATTGCAACCTTTCCTTTTTGGGGTTTTTTTTTTTTTTTTTTTTTTTGGTCTTTTTGAGACAGGGTCTCCCTGTAGCCCCAGCTGTCCTGGAACTCACTATGTAGACCAGGCTGGCCTTGAACTCACAGAGATCCGCCTGCCTCTACCTCCTGAGTACTGGGATTAAAAGTGTGCACCACCACGTCCAGATGCTATTGCAACTTTGTAAGCCACAGTTTCCTCATCTGTAAAATATGGTAATAATGTCTAGTGTCCAAATGGATGGAAGGATGGACTTCGAGAAAGCACTTGCACTAAGATCTGATGGCCAGGACATGCTGTCAGCATCTGTCACTGCCCAGCCTGTAATCTCAGCACAACCTGTTTTCAGTCTTAGACTATAACCTGCAAATGAGACAGATAATAGTAGCCACTTCATGGGATTTTCATGGGGATTAGGATAGGAAAGAGTGGAAGACAGTACATGGCAGAGAATCTGTGATCACTTAAATGCTAACCATACTTTTTAATGGTATTTCTCCTTAACTAAATTAGAAGTTCATCTGGAACAAATCTTTTACCACACATTTCTTTGATGGATTGGTTGGTTTCCTGGGGTTTTAAAAAATATTTTATTTGTTATTTTTCCTTATGCATATGAGTGTACTGCCTGAATGTGTGTAAGTGCACCCATGTCAAACAATGCCCACAAAGGTCAGAAGAAGGCGTGAGATCCCCCGGAACTGGAGTTACAGACAGTTGTTAGCTCCCATGTGGGTGCTGGGAACTGAACTCAGGTCTTCTGCAAGAGCAGCCAGTGCTCTTAACCACTGAGCCAACTCTCTAGGCCCCACCCAGTTCTTTTTTAATACCTTTATATGGTGAAATAATTTCCTGGTTTCCTGATTTTTGAGACAGGGTTTCATGTAACCCAGGTTAGCCTCAAACTTACTATGCAAAGATGACCTTGAACTCCAGATCCTCCTACCTCTGGGAATACAAATGTGATCTACCACACTTGACCATCATGCATGTTTTACATTTCAGACGTGTACTACACATATACAGGCATTTAAACATGATGGTATTAGTAACTTTGCTTTGCCTCACAAATTGTGCCTTTATTAAGTCTGGAGACTATTTCCTTTTGGGTTAAAATTTAATTAGAAAAAGATATAAGAAATCTCGCTGGGCATAGTGGTGTACACCTTTGATCCAAGCACTTGGGAAGCAGAGGCAGGCAGATCTCCGTGAGTTTGAGGCCAGCCTAGTCTACACAACGACTTCCAGGCCTGCTGGGGATACAGAGAGACCCTGTCTCTAAAAGATTTTTTTTTTAAATGTAAGAAATCTCCAACCTTACACATTACCAAGTAAATGCCTTAACAAAATATGAGAGGCTAGGGAGATGGCTCAGCAATTAAGAGCATGTACTGCTCTTAAAGTGGACCTGGGTTCCAAGCAGCTCACAACCACCTGTAACTCCAATTCCAAGGGATCTAACACCCTCTTCTAGCCTCCACATTCACACGCACAAACAAATACATACACATAATTAAAAGCAAAAACAGGGACTGGAGAGATGGTTCAGCAGTTAAGAGCAGTGGCTGCTATGGCAGAAAACCCAGGTTTGTTTCCCAGCATCCACATGACAGCTAACAATCATCCATAACTCCAAAGGATCTGATGCCCTTTTCTGTCATGTGCCGGCATTACACACACATGGTGCATTTACACGCATGTAGGCGAAACACTCAAACACATAAAATAAAGGTAAATACTTTTTTTTAAAAAAAAGAAAGTGTTTCTTCCTAATATAATAGCCCCCATTTCTCCAGTAAAGGTCAACTTTGTGTCTCTGAAACCTAAAGGAACCAGCAAGTCACAAAGGAGACATTTGGTTATTCTACAGAAACATGTGGCCAATTTCCAGAAACAAGAGAAGGAAAAGTATGGAGAAGGCAGGCCCCACTACAGACAACAGGCCTCACGCCTAGGCCCCAGGTAACATTCTCCCAACACGAATCTGTTTTCTTCCTCGATCTCTCTTCTCTTAACCCAAGTTCATGTCCTGGCTCATAAGTAAAATTCCTTAACATGAGAACTGGGTCCCAAGCCCACATGACACCCAAAGGACGTGTTCCTAAGCCGGGTCTGTAGTTGAAGATGACTACTGACAACACAGTGAGCAGAAGACAAAGGGCAGCCTTACCAATGATAGCATTGTTTCCTCCAAGCTCTAACAAACTTTTCCCTAAAAAGAAAATACAGACACGAATTAATTCCTATTTCAGTATTTACTGCATACTGCCTCACATTATAACCATCCCAGTTATCCTTTATTTTCTGATTAATAAAGCAGCTTAATTATGGTATCAATGTGAAATTTTCTGAATTGGATCACTGCACCATGGATATATGAGAGAATGTATTCTTGGGAAATACACTGAAAACAGACATTAATGCCATCAATTTACTCCAGACAGCCCAATTACATGCACAGATTGTATATGTGTGAGCACACATGTGCATGTTCCTAGAGATAGAAAATGATAAAACAGTGTACCCATAGATAAATACAGCTGTCAGCTTTGCTCAGAGAAGCTTCCTTTTGCAGAGGTCAGCAGTGACCGCCAGACTCACAGCTGCTCAAAGTACTGAGAATTAATGACTGCTGAGTGCCCAGCCATAAGTGCAGCACCTATATCGCCCCCTCCAAGGCTTAGGGAACATCAAAAAAAGGGAAAAAAAAAAAAAAAACATGAGCTGGGAGTAGGGGGAGCATTGTAAAATGCTGACTTCCCAGATGTGCCACAGCTGTTGCACGCTTAAATTCACAGCAGCTGTGATTACCTGCTCAAGACCTACACAAGATTTGGCCCATCCACAGCATGTCATGGAAAAGGAGAGATTCATGGAGCCCCACCCTTCCCTGAGGATTTATACACAGTTAATGGTGAATGGGAGGAGAGGGAGGCATTTTCTTCAGTGGTGTAGCCACTGGTAACATGCCTGTGCTCCTGTAAACAAACCCTCACCCATGCTCCTATAAGCAACCCTAATGAAACTCACTGGGGACTGGCAAGATGGCTCAGTGGGTGAAGGTGCTTGCTGCCAAGCCTGACAACCTGAGTTGGATCCCCAGGGCCCACATGCTGGAAGGAGAGAACAGACTCCCACAAACTGTCCTCTGAGCTCCACACATGTGCTGTGGCATGTATGCCTACACACATACAACATACACATACACACACACAATAACTAAAATGTAATAAAGAATTTTTTGAAAAAAAACACATTGGGTCATATGCATAAGACACACAAGTAGAAGGATTACTGGTTGGGAAGGGAAGAGGGTTACTGGTTGGGAAGGGAAGAGGGATCAGCCGGAGTGGGAGGGCACCAGGGAGGACAATAGGGTGAATATGATCAAAACACCTTATGTACATGTATTAAAACATCATAATGAAACACATTATTATATATCTGTAATATATGCTAGTTAAAATATTTTAGAAAAGAAACTGGTAAGGCAAATGGGGAAAATATAAACAGCTGGTGAATCTGGTTAAAGGCTATGAAGAATTTTTTTATGTGACTCATAACTTTGAAGTTTGAAATTATGTAAGAAAGGAAAACAAAATAGGCCAGGCATAGTGGCACATGCCTTTAATACCAGTACTTGGGAGACAGAGGCAGGCAGAACTCTGTGAGATTGAGGCCAGCCTGGTCTACATAGTGAGTTCCAAGGCAGCTGGGGCTAAGAGAGACCCTGTTTCAAAAAAAAAAAAAATGTAAAATGAGCCAGCCACTATGAAAAATGGTACATCAGTTCCTTAAATAGTAAACCCAGAATCTCCATATGATCTTAGCAACTTCACTTGTGGGTATATAACCAAAAGTAGAAAAGACAGGGACTTGGATAGCTGTCAATACACCAATGTTAATAACCTTTCCACAAAAATCAAATGCAGGAACAACTCAAGTATCAATCAACTAATAGATGGATAAAGAAAAGGAGATAAAGGGCTGGAGATGGCTCAGTGGTTAAGAACACTGGTTGCTCTTGCAGAAGACACAGGTTTGAATCCCAGCACCCACATGGCAGCTAACAACTGTCTGTAACTCCAGTCCCAGGGGATCTGACAGCCTCTTCTGACCTCCCGGGGTATTGCACGACATGGGTGCACTTACCTACATGCAGGCAATACACACATACACATAAAATAAAATGTTATAAAAAGCTACTTTTGGGGCTGGAGAGATGACTCAGCGGTTAAGAACACTGGCTGTTCTTGCAGAAGACCCAGGTTGGAATCCCAGCACCCACACGGCAGCTAACAACTGTCGGTAACTCCAGTTCCAGGGGATCTGACAGCTTCTTCTGTCCTCCGTGGGCACTGCACAACATGGGTGCCCTTACGTACATGCAGGAAATACATGTGTATATATAAAATAAAAGAACAAATAAATAAATAAAATAAAAATACAATAGACCAAAAATAAAAAGATATCATGATGGCATAGGAAATTTTATTTAGCTACTTATTCAGTGTTGTTGGGTATCAGTTTTTCCTTTATCTGCTTAGGTCAGGGTCAAAGGGTGTGACTAACCAGGATTGCTGACACACAGTGCCAGTTCACCTATATCCCAGAGGCTCCATACACTTGCCCCACTCTCCCTACACTGACCTGAGATCTGCCTCCAACTGTACAGATATGCATTTTCTGTTACACTTTGAAATAACTTGTTTGTAGCAACAGGAGTGGGACACAAGAGAACACATTCACACTTTCAAGGCTCTGAAAACATAAGCATCCAGTGCACCTCAAATATGAAAGGACGTAGCTGCTGTCACTGGAGCCTGAGTACCACACCAGCTCAGGCTTCTGCAGCCACAAGTTGACTTAGGACAGCTTACCGCCTACAGCACAGCACTACACTATGTGCCAAGAAGAAAAGAAACAGAAGACAGCACTTGCTCTTTCCTGGCTGCAAGTGATATTTGGCAGAAAAGACCTGTACCCTTTGTACCCATTCACCCACCCACCAATGGCTCTCTAACAACACTCCTAACCACCAATTCCTCCCCAATGAAAGTACCTGAGATGTAAGACAGCAAAACACTATGACACTACTTAAGCAAAACAACAAACTACGGCTTTGTGTAAAGAGAAGGGGAGACGGGGAGCGAGCGACCTCTGCTAGTGGGAAGTGACTTGGGTGATACTGGGCATCTTTCCCTGTTTATTACAGATATGAGAAGTCTATTCAAATCCACTGCCCATTTTTAAAGTTATTTTTTTTCTTTTTATTTCGTGAGAGAGAGAAAGAGAGAGAGAGAGAGAGAGCAGGCAGGCATATACTAAGTCAGAGGGCTTTTCAGGAGTCAGTTCTCTCTTCCACCTTGTTTTTGAGGCATCTCTCATTATTTCTGCCACTGGGCTGTGTACAAGCTTCTGGGTGATTCACCTGCGCTGCTCAGCCTTCCACCTCACCGAGGAAGTGCAAGGATTACAGATGTGAACCACAACAGCCGTCTCTTCCACACAGGTTCCAGGAATCAAACTTAGGTCATCAGGGTTTCATAGCAAATATTTTTACCAGCTGAACCATCTTACAGGCTCCTAAACTGCCCATTTTTAAAGTGCATTGTTTGGGGCTGGGGATATAGCTCAGTGGTAGAGCACTTGCCTCAAATACTAAGGCCTTGAGTTTAAACTCCAGCACCACAAATATTTACAGTATTTACCTTTATATTGCTTTAAGGGTAGTTTATACATTCTATACATGTGTTCCTTAGAGAAATGACTTGCAAGTATGTTCTGCCACTCTGTAAATTGCTTTCTTTTCACTAGTATACTTTGAAGCACATAAGTTTGTTTTTTTTTTTTATCAAGTCTAAGAAACCACTGCCTAGCCTGAGGTCACAAAGATGTATTTCCTAGGTGTGGTGGTTTGAATAAGAAATATCCCCGACAGACTCACATATTTGAACACTTAGCCCCAGTTGATAGCACTGCACTGTTTGGGGAGGTTCAGAAAGTACAGCCTTGCTGGAGGAAGCATATCACTGGGGGCAAGCTTTGAGAGCTCATAGCCTTGCTCTCTCTCTCTCTCTCTCTCTCTCTCTGCTTTGTGCTTCCTATGCATGTTTAAAGATGTGAGTACTGAGCTGCCTGCTGTTCTCTACCAGCTGCCAGGCCTTCCCTGCCATTATGGACTTTCCCTCTGGAACTGTAAGACCAAGTTAACTCTCCTAGAAGTTGCCTTGGTCGAGGTGTTTTATCACAGCACCATTAAAGTAACTAATACACACAGTTTCCTTCTAAGAATTTACAGTCTGGGCTGTTAAACTTAGGTATTTGATGCATTTTTAGTTAGTTTTGTGGTACAGAATAAGGGAAAACTTTATACCAATCCATATTGCTATCTAGTCATCTGAGCAGCAGTTGTTGAAAGAGACTATTCTTATCCACTGAAAATGCCTTGGCATCCTTGCTTAAAAGGCAAATCCATGGCAACAAATGCACAGACTCTCAGCTCTGGTCCACGGGTCTGTCTTCATGCTACTATCAGTGCTGTAACAATTTTGTAATGCGTTATAAAATCAGAAATTATGAGTTCTCCAACTTTGTTCTTTCTCAAGATTGTTTCAAATACTTGGGACCCTTTGCACTTGCATATGAATTTTAGCATCAGTTTGTCAATTGCCATAAGGAATCTGGAATAAGCAACTGCACTGGGCCCACAGACTACTTGGAAGAATTGGTATCTTAAACTGAAAACAGAATGTCTTTCCGTTTAATCAGATCTTAATTTCCTTCAATAATCCTTCAGGTTTTTTTTCACAAAAGATTGACACTTGATTTGTCAAATTTATATGTGGGTGTTTTATTCTCTTGATGTTTCCATAAATTAAATTATTTTCTAAATTTAATTTTCAGATCATAGTTACTGTACAGAAACATACCTGATTTTTTTAAGTTGATCTTGCATCCTACAACCTTGTTAACCCTATTATTTGATCTAATCATTTTTTTATAAATTTGCTTTTTTAAAAGCAACGTCTTGGGTAAAGCCTCCAAACCCAACAACCTAAATTCAATCCCTGGATACCACTTGGTGGAAGGAGAAAACTAACACACACACACACACACACACACACACACACACACACACGCACATGAGCACACGAGCCCCTGTCTTAAACAACCAATAAATAAATAAATTCAGGATTCCCCTAATATATAGCTGCTAACAATCATATACTTTTACATGGATATTTAAGTAAACATGGCCTATACCTCTATGGAAAGGATTAAGAAGGAAAAAAACACTTGTAAACATCACACGAATACATCTCTTAGAGATTCAAATCCTCATCCCAAAGTCAGTGCTTACCAAACCTCTCCTGCACCATCAGGGCCACCTGCTTCCCCACCTGTGTGCTCCCAGTGAAGGACAGCAGGTTCACACGCTCATCTTTGGCCATCGCTGTGCTGCAGAGAATAGACATAGTCACCTAAGAAAAAACACTCGGAAATGATAGCACCCAACGGTACCAGCAAGAAGCACTGATATGGACCATTGGCAAGGTTGTCATGGCTACAAGAAGTCTTCATGAAAATTGAAAAAGGTTTTCACAGGTAGAACCACATGGGAAAACAGGCTGAGGTAGGAAGAGCTCAAGTTCAAAACCTGCCTCACAGAGCGAGTTCTGTGAGCTATCTGTGACCATTTGGAAAGCAGTGCTAGATCAGGAAGACAGTTCTTCCTGTACTGAGATGGCTAGACACTGTGTTCCTAGAATTTCCTTAATGAGCTCCTGGTGTTTTCTGACTCATAATCTAAAATAAAATTCCTTTAAGAATTAAAAACAAGCAGGGTATAATGGCACATGCCTTTAATCCCAGCACTCAAGAGGCAGAGGCAGGCAGATCTCTGTGAGAGCAAGGTCGCCATGGTCAACATAGTGAGTTACAGGCCATCTAGGGGTTATAGGGAGACCCTGTTTCAAAAATTCAAACACACACACACACACACACACATACACACACACACACACACACACACACACACACACACACACACCAGCAGGCATGGGGGCATGGGCCCAGCTACATGGGAAGCTGAGGTAGGAAGAGCTCAAGTTCAAAACCTGCCTCACAGAGCGAGTTCAAGGCCAGCCTGGGAAACTTAATGATATGCTGTCTCAAAATAAACATAAAAGTGAAAAGTGGGCTAGGCATCTAACTCAGTGGTAGAACACTTGCCTAGTATGTGCAAAGCTGCACCGTCCTGAATTCAATCCCCAGCACTCTACTCCCTCGACCCCCCTCCCAAAAATACATATACTACTCTGGGCTACATATAGACCGACGTGTGTGTGTGTGTGTGTGTGTGTGTGTGTGTGTGTGTGCGCATGTGTGCTAATCTAGGCTACATAAGGGGATCCTGTCTCAAACAAAGCAAACAAACAAACAACATCAACAAACAAATTAGACAGTTTCAGGCCTGAAGGGAAACAACCTATAGTATCCATAAGAAAGCTGGCTTGAAGAGGCTGAGGTACATGGTGATCCCAGAATGTCTCCAAGGACAATCTGTTCCATCTGTATCTTATGTGGGAAATCCCTTTAGGCTGTGAAGAGATCGCTTTTTTTTGTTTTTTTTTTTTTTTTTTTTTTTTTTTGGTCTTTTTGAGGCAGGGTCTCCGTGTAGCCCCAGCTGTCCTGGAACTCACTATGTAGACCAGGCTGGCCTTGAACTCACAGAGATACACCTCTGCCTCCTGAGTGCTGGGATTAAAGGCATGTGCCACCACACCTGGCCGCGAGATTGCTTTTAAAAAAAAAAAAAAAATTATTTCATTTCATTTTTAAAACAAGGTCTCACTATATAGTCCTGACTGGCCTGGAACTCACTATGCAGACTAGGCTGGCCTCAAACTCACAGAGATCTGCCTGCCTCTGCCTACTGAGTGCTGGGATTAACAGTATGCATCACCATGCCTAGCATTAAATAGTTTGGGGGGGTTTGTTTGTTTGGTTTTGTCTCTTTGAGACAGGGTCTCCCTGTAGCCCCAACTGACCTAGAACTCACTTATGTAGTCCAGGCTGGCCCCAAACTCAGAGATCCTCTTGCCTCTGCCTCCCAAGTGCTGGAATTAAAGGTGTGCAGAGTGCGCCACCATGCCCAGCTATTAAATATAGTTTCTAAGAAATGAAGGCTGTGCTAGGGTTTCTTGTTGCATCTAAGGACTAGAGACCAGACACTACTGATTTGAATCTCTTTTTCATAGATCAGTGCCTTAGAGGGCTCAGCATGCACAAAGCAGGGCAGTCCCTGTACCAGCTTGCAATCTGCACAGTTTGATTTAATTACTTGGGTACATCTCCCCAGGCTCAAGCAGGAGCACTGGCATGCCAGCTGCCTGCTGCTTAGTGAGGTCCTACATGCCCAGCTGAGCTATGCCAAGGCCAACATGATGCAAGAACAGAGTAGGACAAAGAATACACACTTATACTTCAGTGACGTTTAGATACCACAAAGGGAGCAGGCGGGAAGAGAGTAGGATGGATTTTCTAATATATCCTCATCTATATGACCAAAAAAAGTAAATTCTGCCCATTTCTGAGATTCCCAGTAAGTGCAGTAGTATGTTAAAAATATGGGAGAGCCAGGCATTGTGGCAAATGTCTTTAATCAGCACTCGGGAGGCAAAGCTAAGTAGATCTCTGTGAGATCGAGGCCAGCCTGGTCTATGTAGTGAGTTCCAGGTCAGCTGGGGCCACAAGGAGACCCTGTCTCAAAACGAAACAAAATTTGGGAAAGAGCCTAATATTTTAGTCATAGGAGTATGGTAGAGAGACTTGATTCCTAGGACATTTCTACGAAGTCTGAGCTGGTAAAAATGTCAGCTTTCCTTATGCTTCAGAACAAGTTTAGATAATTCTCTGTAACATTCAAAAAGAAAGAAAATGGTTGCAAAAGATCTCATATCACATGACACCATTTATATGGAACATCCATCCCCAACAAATCCATCAAGACAAAAAGTCTGCTCGTGGTTGTCACGGGCTGTGGTAAAGGATGATGGGCAATGTGTGTGTGTGTGTGTGTGTGTGTGTGTGTGTGTGTGTCAAAGAATATGAGATTTCTTTGTAGAGTGGGTTAAACATACTAGAATAAGATAGTGCTGAATATTCTACAAGCTGCTCAGCAGGGGCTGAGGGTTCAGCTCTGTGGAAGAGCCCAGGCACACAGAGAACCTGGGTTCCAGTCCCACTACCAACAAAACAAAAGAAAACAAAAGTCGCCAAGTTGTGTAGTTTAAAAAGGAGCATTTTACTGCCAGGGGTGGTGGTGCACGCCTTTGATCCCAGAACTTAGGAGGCAGAGGCAGGTGGAACTTTGTGAGTTCAAGGCGAGCCTTGTCTACAGAGTGAGTTCCAAGCCACCTGGGGCTACAGGGAGACCCTGTCTCAAAAAAGACAAAAAAAAGGGGGGGTGGGATTTTATGGTATGTGAACTACATGGAAGTCAAAACAAAAACAGCAAAAAAAAAGTTTTAAGACACAGTCGTATATAGCCAGGCTGACCTCAAACTCGATATATAGCTGAGGCTGACCTTAAATTCCACCTCCTGAGTTCTGGAACTACAGGTACACACTACCACACGTGGTATATTCAGTGCTAGGGATCAAACCTACCATCTCATGTATAGAGATAGACTACCAGCTGAACTACATCCACAGCCCCCCTTTTAGAGTCAGCTAAGGAACCAATAACAGCTAAGTACTGGGGAGGGGTGGGGGTACAACATCACAGCTTTGCTTTGTAAGCAAACATCTAAATAAATATCAGGAAGCATCTGCTGCCCAAATACAACACATCCAATCAGTAGCCCAGTAGCTAAAACAATAGTACTACTGATCCTCCAGGAAAGGTACCACCAGTAACGGCTCAACCAGATCTGTAGCAACAGTGACACAAAGGCCAGCCTCGCCTCCACCAGTGCACTGGGTTTTGTCATTACAGTAGAACCCGAATTCCTTCAACCGAAGGATGCTCTTCATCTATTCACCTACCCAATATCTGCTCCACCACAAGTCAGAGAACAAATGGCACCAGGCAGTTTGTTGTCTTCCAGAACCCTGGCTACGATCCTAGCAAAAAAAAGGCAAATACCAGTCAGCCAACAAGGTGACATCTTAAAACACTTCTTACAAATGAGAAATAAATCCCTGTCACACGTTTTCTTTCTTCAACTTCCTCTCCCACTCTGTAAACACTCAGACATGGATTTTTCAGCACGTATTACAGATAAGGCTTTCAAACATTTACAAGCAGAACTTTTGGGTTAAAAGAATCTTGGGAGGGGTGCACATAGAAAAACATGATTAGAAGATATAATGTATTGCTCGGTGGTTCAAAAGATGATTTTCATCAAGTGTTTTCTGCCAGACTATGAAGACATGTCTGAGTTGATATGGCTGCCGAGGAAAAGCAGGCCGAGTGCTGAGGCGGCCCAGGTAAAGCAGGCCCATGCTGAGGCGGCCCAGGTAAAGCAGGCCGAGTGCTGAGGCAGCCCAGGTAAAGCAGGCCCATGCTGAGGCGGCCCAGGTAAAGCAGGCCCATGCTGAGGCCGCCCAGGTAAGGCAGGCCACGTGCTGAAGCAGCCTGGGCGAACAGGCATTTTTCCCTTTTTCTTCTTTTATTCCTAACCACAAATCCATTAAAGGATGTTAAAGACATAGAAAAGGAATAAGACCTAGGAAAATGAAGGGATTTATATCTCTGCATCTGCTCATGAACTGAAGCAGGAAAGGGGAACTGGGGACATATAGTTCAGTCGGTAGAACGTTTGCTGAGCAGGGATGAAGCCCTGGGTTCAATCTCCAGCACCACATACACCAGGCCTGGTGGCACATGCCTATATTACTAATGCTTTGGAGGTGGAGGCAGGAGGATCAGAAGTTCAAGGAGGTTCAAGGTTAGCCTGGGCTACAAGGGATCCTGTTCCCGCCAACCTTTTCTTCACCCCCCAGAAGGAGAAGCGTAAAGACTGAAAAAAACAAAAAAAAAAAAACCAGCAGGGTGGTGCATGCCTGTTATCCCAGCTCTTGAGAGGTGTGGTTAAGAGAGTCCGGAATTCAAGGTCATCTTCAGTTACATAGGGAATGCAAGGCCAGTTTGGGTTACATGAGTTCTTGACTCAAAAAAAAAGACAAAACAAAACAAAAAAGGATGAAACGGAAAGGAGAAGAGGTCTCCTAAATCTAGGATAGTTTCTATGGAGTGTATATACATACAGGACATGGGGCCTGCCCTGTGGAATCCCGACATAGCTCAGGACTTGTGTCAGCTGACTTAACACAAAATCATTTTAATAGTCAGGCGTGGTGGCACATGCCTTTAATCCCAGCACTTGGGAGGCAGAGGTAGGCAGATCTTTGTGAGTTCGTGGCCAGCCTGGTCTACATAGTGAGTTCCAGGACAGCTGGGGCTACAAGGAGACCCTGTCTCAAAAAAGACAAAAAAAAAAAAAAAAAATCATTTTAGTGATTAAACAGCAGTACCCTGCAGGCTGAAAGAGCCCGTGGACATGCCAAGGCATGTCCTCCTGCAATTTAAGCTGGTACAGTTAAGGGAGAGCACAGTTCAAAAATGGCTGGAGCCAGGAGTGGTGGCATACACTTTTGATCCCAGCACTCAGGCGGCAGAGACAGGCCAACCGTTGTGAGTTCAAGGCCAGCCTGGTCTACATAGTAAGTTCAGGTCAGTTGGGACTACAAGAAGACCCTGTCTCAAAAAAAAAAAAAAAAAGGCTCAAGTAATTCTGGGTTTTCTGAACCAGAGCTCTTCCTTTCGAGTTTCCAGTGGAGTGTGGTGGCTCATGTCTGTCATCCCAATACTCAGGAGGCTGAGGCAGGAGTATCATCATGAGTTCAAGACCAGCCCAGGCTAGATTGAGATGCTACCTCAAAACAAGTACATTTGAGCTTCCCAAAGACAGACAAAGCAGAGTTCGTTTATCATCAATCATCCAACTTGCTGGCTACTTTCCAATTTGTGTGACTTGCATCTGGACCAGGATAACCGTGAACTCTACAAATGGGAATGCCATGTTCTTTTCCTTCCCTGAGCTCAGTGACACCTGTCCCTCATGATACCTAAAAGCTATGCTTATAGAATTGCTACAGGAGATTTGGGGCTCCTGTGGGCCTTGGGCTTTTAAACATGGTGTGATGCTTAATCTTCATTGTCAGCTTGATGGGATGAAGAAGTGCCTGGCAGAAGAACATACAACTGATGTGTCTGTGAGGTGGGCTCTGACCTAATCAATAGACTAATTAATAGATGGAGATATATGGTAATAGATGGAGGTATATGGTAAGTTATTGGGAAGTGGGGAAAGGTAAGAAATGGGGCCAAGCTGGAGAAAGTAGGCACTAAGAGAAGGGGTCCAGAATACATGAAACTCCCATAGAGACATTCAAACTCTTCAAAACTATTTGAAGAAAAGGAAAAGGCTAAAAGCAAAATTAGTACCAAAGTCAATGCTATTTTAATCAGAAACAATAACAATAGCAAGTCAATTCTACAATAGCTATTCTATTGTTTAAAAGAGCTTAAATTTTAGCTGGGCATGGTGTTGTGAGCCTTTAATCTCAGCAGAGGTGAGGCCAACCTAGTCTACACAGTAAATTCCAGCCAGTAGGGGCTACAGGGAGACCCTGTCTCAAAAAGACCAGAGAAAAGTTAAGAAGAAAAGAGAAGAAAGAAAAGTTTTGAATTTTTGAATTTTAAAAATTGCCTGAGGAATCTCATCATCTTTATGTTTTTTAAAATTTTTATATATCATGTGTAGTGTTTTGCCTCCATGTATATAATTGGACCCATACATGCAATACCTGTGGAGGCCAGAAGAGGGCATCAGATCCCTAGGTAGTGGAGTTACCAATGGCTATTAGCTGCCATGAGGATGCTGGGAATTGGACCCAGGTTCTCTGGGAGAACAGCCAGTGCTCTTAACCACTGAGCCATCTTTCTGGTCCCATGATTTTTATATATTTAATAAGGTTTAATATGAACAACGCTTCTAAGATATCATCTCATTTTTCCTTTCAATTAAATACTAAGACATAATACTTTATCGCTTTTTGGTTTTTTTGTTTGGTTTTATGGTGAATTTTGTTTGGGTTTGTTTTGTTTGCTTGTTGAGACAAGGTCTCACTATACAGCCTGGGTGGCCTGCAATGCACTATGTAGACCAGACCAGCCACAAACTCACAGGAGATCCCTTTGCCTCTGCCTCCAGAGTGCTAAGATTAAAAGTGTACTACCATGCCTAACACTTTTTTTTTTTTTTACATTTTTATCTATTTATTTTGTATGTATGTGAGTGTGTGATGTGTACTATAATGAGCTTGTAGAGGTCAGAGGACAACTTGTAGGAGTCTGTTCTCTCCTTCCACAATGTGGGTTCTGAAGACGAAACTCAGGTCATCAGGTTTGGTGGCAGGCACCTTTACCTGCTGAGTCAACTAGACAGTCCTCTATTTTATTGTGTGTATGATATGTATGTATGAGTATGGGTACACGCATGCCATTAGTGTGTGTATAGAGGTCAGAAGACAACTTTCAGAAGTTGGTTCTCTCCTTCTAACTGTGGGTCCCAGGGATGGAACTCGGGTTGCTGGGGAAGCACCTTTACCAGCAGTCATTGCACCTACACTGTTGGTGGCAATTTCTGAAATAGGATCTCAATGTGTAGCCCTGGGTAGTTTCAACTCACAAAGTTCCTGCCTCGTCCTCCCAAGTGCTAAGATTAGAGGCATGCACTAACACATCTGACCTACCTTTCCTCTCTTATACTCCATTTTTTAATTCCTAAGCCATTATTCCTAATGATACCCTAACATTAAGCATCCTCTTACATGTGGACTGTACAAGTTCTCTACAACATTGTTAAATCAAGCCAGGCATGATGGCACACACCTTTAATCCCAGCAGAGAGTCTCTCAAAGATAAATTAATTAAATAAAGTAAACTTAAATTAGAGAGAACAGACCACGCATCTACTGGAAATAAACCTCAAACATCATAGCCCATCTCCAAATTCCAGATTTATAATGCCACTGATTTCATTGATTTTATGACCTCACAGCCATAAAGTTCTCAAATATGAATAAATAAGATACTAGTCATTTTAAATCAAAAGCATGCAATGCCTTTTAAACAGTGTTAAATCAATCAGTAGATTAATGTACTAAGCAGTTCTTTCTGTTTTATTAATGAATGGCTTATCAATAAAAGCAATAAAAGAACTACAAGATAGATATCTAGTCCCAAAACCATTCACTTGGGCTGAGACTGTATCTCAATGGTAGAGATTTTACCTAGCCTGTGTAAGGCCCTAAATTTAAAACGTAG